GAGCGGAGTTTAGGGCTGTTGTACATAGGGTCGCTATGAGTCGCAGGCGACTCGACGGCACATAACAACTACATAGGATTTTATAATCTAGTAAATCCTCTGGATTTTATTCATAAGCAGGAAGTTGTCTTTTCTCTCTGACTTTTCTTGCTCTCCGTCAGGCAGTGGTTTCTGTATTGCACAGACAGTGAGTTAATTTTGGTTCCTTACTTGTATTCCACAGTTGTGAGAAGGATGCCGGCTTTTCTCTTCTGAAAAATTATGGTACATTCTGTCACAAGACCAGAGCTGATTAGAATCCGTTCTCTTCCTAAAGACTTAAACAGCCACCTTTCTTCTTCACTAAGACTTCGGAGACTTAAAAGTATCCATCATTGTTAGGGTATTTATTCAATATGATAGAGTAATTCCCTACCCTTACTTCCTTTGTAGTTGAGATATGACATGTTTCTGTGACCTGTAAGGCAGTGATACTTAGCTTGACTATAAATAATATCATTTGAGAAATGTGGAGAGAAGGTAATAATGTGTATAATTTGTAAAAACTAATACTGATTATAATGTAGTCCAAAAGCTTGCATTATGAGTTTTGTTTTTAAGCCTATGAGAAGTGCAAATGCTCTAACTTTACCTAAGATCTATATTGTAACAAAATTCCCCAGGTGAATAAATACTATCTTCAAGTCTTCCTTTAAACACTCCTTTAAGCTACTACTCGCATTTTCCTTCTTCAGAGGAGTGCCCATGGATAAATACAAATCATTACATTCAAATTTCCTTCACTTTTGATACCCAGAAATTTGCAGTCTGTTTTACTTTTAGGAGTTTTGGAATAGAATTTTGAAAATACTATTTCATATCCTACAGTACAAGTTAAACTGGAAAAATCTTTTCACATGATTCCATAAGGGAGATAAATGTAAAAATAGTAAATTTTTGCAATAAGTAGTTCAAAGACTTGAATTTTAAAGTAGGAATCATTATGTTTATTTAACATTAATTTTTGTTTTTATGACTCTTTTATTACTCTTTCAGATCAGTAGTAATTTCCCTTCGCCTTCTTCCAAAACTTTTTGGTACTTTCCAACAGTTTGGGAGCAGTTATGATACACATTGGATTACAATGTAAGTAAAAAAAAAAAAAAGATGTCACATGATCGTTAATAGCAATTAAATTTTCTTTTTGTATGCATTTTGAATGTTAGATTTCTCTGATTATTGTCCTTGCCCCTTGAGGCTGCCGTCAGTACAGTTGGAAGTGGAACTTTTGTATTTTTTGGGGGGGAGGGGGTGGGGGGAACACCAGAGAAACTAAAACTATAGCAGATAATGCTGAGTAAGATTTCTGGTGTATCTGACTGTAGAAGATTACTCCTGAAGAAGAGCCATATAACTAAATAATAAAAATATTAGTATGCTTATCATTTTCCCATAAAAGAAATTGTTCGGGGGGAGGGCTGGGCGGGGAGAGAAGTGCAGCAGTGAATGATTGGAAATCTAAAATCTCTGTAAATGTTGATTAAAATTAATTAAAAAAGAAAAATTGTTCATAGATGTTGTTATGTTAAGAATAATACTGATATTACTCTACTTGATTGTGAAACGAGGTTTGGTAAATTTTGCAAGAATCCTTTTAAGAGACTACCTTATAAATTGATCTTTTTGGGTGGTAATATTTTAGAGAAAGTTGGTGATGACAGACAGTTCATTCATCCAAGAGAAGTCTTGCACTTGTTTTATTTGAAATACAATTTTTAATTAATTTCAGACATTCCCTAAACATACGAGTTCTAGGGATATAGATTAAAAGAAGGCTGTTAAGGGCCATAAACAGATCTGAAGAAAGCGTGTACTCATATTCCTTATGCAAAAGAATAGAGTGAGTCGTCTTTACATTTTTTATGTTTTTTGTTTGTTTTGTTATTTTTGTGCCTGGATTACAAATTTAAGGCAGGAAAAGATTTTATTTAGATTGCACTTAATCACAGGTGTTTCTTATAGCAGTTAAGAATGGTTAATTAATCAGAGAGAAGTAATGGTTTTAATAGAAGTGAGCGTCTCTGATTGTCTAATCCTGAACCCACGTAAAAACCCCTTAGCTCGTACCTTGAATGAAATGTAAACTCAAAGACCCTTTATAGAGTTTGCATTAGAACATCTGAGTGATGTCCTAAATCTCATACATAATTTACCAACAGAATTATTGTGAATATTGTCGTTGATAGTAGCAGATATTTCTAGTTACTATCCGTCTTTCATGTGGTAGGGACAGCACTCAGGTTTTGGTGAGCAGTGCAGTACCTTTGGACCAGAAGGATTTAACTTTTGATTCAGATGCACTCTGATGCTACTTCGATGGTCCAAATTTTAAATTATTACTCCTGGTTCTCCTTAAAGTTTCAAGTAACCAGCAAAGAGTTGGTTTATACTGCTTAACTGTAACCTTGTAGGTGGTTTTGTGTTAATATTGGAGCTGGTTTCACCTCAGTCCTACTAAGAATTCTTCATTCTAACACTTGACCTTCATTAAAGATTGATAGTGAAGAGGAACCTATTTTGAAAGTAGGACTATAAGTACAGCCATGATATAGATTACATTGTGTGTTGAGAATACGTTGCTAAGAAGTATTATGTGAGTAGAAAGTAATTATGGGAATTAGTGGCCCTTTTACCTTTGAACTTCTTTACCACTTTTTTCTGGTGCTGCTTTTTTTTTAGCCCTTACTATCTGTATTTTCTTAGATGATTATGTAATTAGAAATTAAATCTTCTAAGTATTTTTTTTAAAAAGTATAATTCCGAATGATTGACTATAGAAAAGTCAAAATCCATTCTACATTATGACTTCTGCAGGCCAGAAATGCTGACTACAAACCAGGATACATAATCAGTGTCTTTTTTATGTAATGTGTATGAATGAATAAATTACTATTTTTAGAATAGTTGCAGTTGCGTGTTACGCATGGAAGAGCTGGACAGTGACTAGGGATGATCAAAATAATTGATGCCTTTCAGCTGTGGTGCTGGACAAGAATTTTGAATATACAGTGAACTGCTAGGAGAACAAACAGGTTGGTCTTGGAGAGAGTGAAGCCAGGCTGCTCCTTGGAGTCAAGGATTCTGAAGCTTCGTCTGACATACTTTGGGCATGTTGCAAGGAGGGCCTGGTCTTTGGAGAGGGCCATCGTGTTTGGCAGGGTGGAGGGACAGTGCAGGAGAGGAAGATCTTCGATGAGATGGGTCCATTCTTTGATTGGGGGAATGGTAGGTTTGTCAGAAAGTGAGGTTGGCACAGGATCGAGTAGGGTTAGGGCTGTTGTACATAGGGTCCCTATGAGTCGCAGGTGACTCAACAACATAACAGCAACAACAAGTGTAGTAGTATGGTGAGGAGTGGGAAGCGATTCATAGCTGAACCTTCCCCGGTTTTTCAGAGACTGTCCATTGCACTGGAGGAGATTGCCCATCTTTCCACACGGAGCAGGTGGAGGATTCCAGCCCCCTGCCTTGAAGTTGGCAGCACAGCTCCTACCAACTAGTCCCCCAAAGCTGCTTGTTGTTACTATTAGCACCTGTTGGTGTTTATATTTAATCTCTACCAGACATCGTGTCCCTTTTACAGCAGATATGTAAGGCAACTTGATTAAGATCATTCACGTGGTAAATAGAACTTGTCGGTTTTCAAGTACTACATTTGAGGGTATTCTATGTACTTAAATATGTGTGATAAATAATTTGTCTTTTTAAAATTGTTATTATACTAGTTTATTTACAATATTTGAATACATTGTTTTCCAGAAGAGATTATTCCAGTTTCCTTTATCCCTCCAATAATTTGTCTTAACATAGATTTGCTTTTTCTGTCTTTTTAAATTATTTTTTTCTTTTAACTTGTCCAGGTGGGCAGAAAAAGAACTGAACATGATGAAACTTTTCTTTGACAATTTGGTTTATTACATTCAAGCTGTAAGAGAAGGAAGACAGAAACATGCACTGTAAGTACCTCCCTTCTTTGTTGACTGTGTTTTGAGCTGGATTGTCATCTTTGACCTTTCTTGTACTGTGTGTCACAGAATGTTATAAAAATTATGAGAGAAAGAAAAAGGAATTTTTTAAGCTAAAGTGTTTATAGATTACTTTTGGAATTTTACGTTGCTTTTTGAATATGTGACCTTCACTTTTGAGTTCTGTTCAAAGACTGGAGGGGTAATTTTTTAAAAATGGTTTTCTTCAGAAATAACCATTGTTATAACTGATATGTTTAGGGCATTGATTCTAAAAGTAATGATTAGTTTCAAATAAGTATATTAAATACATAGTTGATTTAAGCATTTTATTATGATTGGACACCATCTTTAAACACTCGTTATGTTTTCGTCCCACTAAAATATTCCCTGCATATATTTTAGTGATTTGGGCTCAGACTGGCTTTGACTCACTCAGTAATAGTGGTTTAGCTGATTGTAAAGATTCTTACAGGCTTATGTGCAGGTAAAGGGAGCCTTGGGGAACCAGCCCCTTAACACGTTTCCAGTTACTTCTAATACTAACCATAGAATTTGTACAGATAAATTAGTATATTTGAAATAATTCTGAAACGCAGGGTTTTTTATGGGCTGCATTCCTCTAAGCTAAATTAATTGAAATAGTGTCTTGTTTAAGGAATGTATTATGACTGTAGGCACAGTGATACTAAGTACATAATTTTCCAAAAAGTATAGATTTTAACTTGTTAAACTTAATATTATTTTTTTTTAATTTATCTTTTTATTTTGTGTGTGTGTGTACTGTCAAATTGGATCTGACTGGTACAGGAGGAGATTGTCCCTCCTCCTTCAGCAGAGCATCTGGTGGATTTGAACCACACGCCTCTGGGATGGCAGTGCAGCTTCTTACCACTAGGCCACCAGAGCTTGCCTAACCTTAATTTTCCAATGATAATTCTTCCCCCCACCGAGTTATTTATTTTCTCATCTCATTTGAAAATATGATCTTAATACTTGGGATATTTTTACAATTTTGAAATGAAAAGTCACAAACATCATATGGGATTTTAGAAATACTGTCCATTTAAGCAAAGCTGTCTTTACAATAGTTATTGTGGATTATTAAAAATGGAAATTTACTTACTTTAAGTGACATTTAAGGCTGTTATCTTTAAATGTAATTAAGAAGTTGGATCTCACAGTTGATTATTTTAATGACTTATCACAGGTACAGCCATAGTGCTGAAGTTCAAGTTCGACTTCAGTTCTTGACTTGTGTGTTCTCAACTTTGGGGTCACCTGATCATTTCAGTAAGTTGATGTTTGGTTTCTTTAAATACTCGGTTTGCTTGCACAGCTTTACTGGTTTCTTGGAAGTCTTGTCCAGTTTTTTAGTCATTAAAATTTTTTTTTCTACGTACATAATTGTACCAACACTTTGACACTTTATTAAAAATTTGTGCTATCTACATTTAAAAAGTGTTTGCATTATGAAACATTTTCTTACTGATAATAGGCATAGAAAAAACAAATTGAACAGATTCTTCACACGCCATGCAGTGATGGTCACCTTCGGGTTGCACAGCCATCTTCGCCCTCTGTCACTGGAGTGTCCCTTTCCCATTAACCCACATCCCTGGCCCCATAAAATTCCTGTCTAATTTTTCAGGTGGTGGTTGTCATTTCGATCCCACCTAGTTCTTGAAAGAGCACAGAGTTGACAAGTTGAACTAAATGAATATTTGGTTTTGAGAAGATCTCACTGGGCAATTTTGGTTTAAAGATTATCTCAAGGCAGTGATTTCTGGGTCCCCCAGTGTTCACCCCCAGGTCTGTCCAGAGTACATGAGAATAAGAAATTCTATTGGATGTTTCTCCCTTCAGAGTCTTCAATAGATTCATCAGGGTAAATATTTAATGGTAGTTGCCCGGCCCCATCCTTTCTTCTCTTTGGAGCACAAAAGAGGTTCCTGGAGGCTATTGGCCTCACTTTCCTGGTCCTCGTCGTCCTGAATCTCCTCCTTTGTCTGTTAACCCAGAGGCATAGTGACCACTGGCTGTGCTTTGAACAGCCATTTGTAAAGCTTTAAGAGCTCAGACACTCTGCAGTGAACTAGAAGTTACAAGAGAAGCAATGGAGATGTTACTTAAGCCAGTTACCTGCAATACCTTTTGAAATAAGATCTTTGAAATCTCCTGTTACCTGTAGAATTTTCTTACAAGCCTTAATAAGTCTAATTTTGAAAATACTTCCTTTTCCCTATCATTTTCCTGTGGTTCAGTGACTGAGTATTCTCCCAGGATGGTAATAGGAACATGACCCTGACGATAATGTTCCTGCCTCAGGCTCTGAAATGGAAGTTTCTTAATACAGGTCTTACTTTAGGAGCAAGCTATTACTTAATTAATTAGGTTAGAAATAGCACTTGTCAGTGAACTCATTTTTTCCAAAATTAATTCTTTGGAACCACTACTTTTGCAGTAAGATGGTGTCTGACTACCATTAATAAAGGTTCAAATCCATATGAAGTCTACAAGTTACACTGAAGTGCTCTTTGGTTATGAAAAGATTTCAAGACTTGAAGACTTGTTTGAGGATTATCTCAGGGCAGTAAATTCAGGGCTTCTTAAGGCTTTAGAGATGATAGAGACATTTTTAAGATAATTTCCAGACATAGTGCCATTAGTAGTTTCTTTTTCTTTTCTTTCCCTTTTTTTTTTTTTTTTTAAAAGTCCATTTTGGATCTAGATGGTCAATCCACATGATTGATATTCTCTCATGAGACGAAGTTTGAGTTCTGTTGGTCAGAGCTCCTCTCCTCCTTCTGGGCTGATTGAGCCATTGTTCACTGTGCTCGCTACCCTCCTTCCCAGTCTTGTGCACCCGCATGCCTTAGCTGCCACTCTGTCAGGGATTAATACAGACTAGTCAGGAGTGACTACTCCGAAGCGAGGCTCGTTCTGCTCGCAAGTCCGTATCTGTGCTTGGGATACAGCATGTTCATCTTCCTTTTTAAAACCTTTGATTGAATTTCTTCCATCTTTATTCTCTTCATAGTAAATGTGACTTGCAATGTCGTCATCAGCATAAATAACTTAAACATGACTAATTTCTTATAGCACAGCTTCTCTAGTCTAGCTTTTTCTGTCTGGGTAGAATCAAATTGAAAATGTGATTTCTATATCAGTTACAGTTCTTTTAATTGATAGAGTTCTGGTCAGCTGTGTATGATCACTGTATATATAGTTAATGTTACTTCTGATAGCTCAGTGCTGATTTTTTAATAGGCTGATGTATGATCTTAAAAATACATTGCAATGAAAAACTCTATAGTTGATAATTTCGTCAACTATGAATACACTTTGGTTTTCTTGTCTCCTATTGGTGGATGCTGCTAGAGCCATTTCCAGAAGCTAGCAACTTCATGGGAGGGTAGAACTGCCTGATAGGGTTTTCTGTGTGTTGGTGTTTTTGAGTTTTGTTACTGTTGTTTGTGTGTTTGGTTTTTGAGACTAAATCTGCAAGTCTTTCTTGGACACGTTTATGAAAATATTTTAATTGTAAATTTGAAGACAAGTTTACTCCTTATTTTTCATCTTTCTTAGTAAATTTGAGTTCTAATATACTCCAGAAATTGATTCTAGTTTATTGATGTTGATTCCTAGGAACACAAGTTCTTGGTAAAAATAATCTGCACATTTATAATTTTGAAGAAAAACTGATAGAGTAGTTTTTTCCTAATTAGTCTGCCTTCACTACTCGGTGGATCTCCGAGTGCTCTTTTCAGATCACAGTGTGGAGGATGATCACATGGTGACAGCTGGTTGATGAGAATCTGGACTAGCCAAGACGACAGACACACAAGCTTAACAACTATGTGTGCTTTCCAGATAACCTTTCCAGTGAACGCTTTCCATATCTCAGAACTGTGGTTCCCGAGGAGAGCTTCTCTTTAGTTAATAATATTGTCTTTCTTTTTTTTATCTTTTAAAATCTCATTGGAAACACCATAAAATGTAATCTCAGTATATTGATTTTTTTTTCCAACTAATTTTATCCTTTGATGGGCTCTCATTTTGTCTTTGGTTTTAAGCTTGGTTCATCCCAAATACCCTGTTATTTTGTTATTTACAAAATGAATGCTTATTGACAATATTTACCTCGTGTGCACATTGAACTTGGTTTCCACTCAGTCTTCACACTTTAGAACTAACTTTTCAGCTTTTGGGATTACATCTCCACAATCCTGTGTTTTTTTAATACTACCAATGATACATTCCTATCTTAGGGAAAAGATTTTCAGGACAAATGGCTTTTTTGTAAGATACTTTAAATTGTGTACTTTTAGTTATATATAAGCAACACTTAATGACTTTTTTTTTGTTTTAAAGCTTAGTTTGTGGAATTTGTTAAAATATTTTTTATATTTCTCATACACTTAATTAGAACCGAGCCTTCCATTTACCATGATTCAAAGTTTTCCAAACCAAAAGGCAAAAAGAGAACTGAGGTGTAGTAATTTATTAACTACATACATACTTACATACACATCTAAGAAAAGTTTTCTGATAGTTAATAAACTGTGAAATTTGATTTTTCTCTAGGATTAAGTTTAGAACAAGTTGACATTTTATGGCACTGCTTGGTAGAAGATTCTGAGTGTTACGATGATGCTCTCCACTGGTTCTTAAATCAAGTTAGAAGTAAAGACCAGCATGCGATGGGGATGGAGACCTATAAGCATCTTTTCTTGGAGAAGGTAATTCATTTCTGGTCCGTTCTATAGTTTATAATATTTCCCCATATTCTTTTTGTTTATTGAAGAATGAACTCTGATGTTCTTTTTTCCTCCCCAAATGATAAAAAAAATAGACCAGATATTGGTTTTTAGTGTTACTTTTATATTATTTTTAACTTATATTTCGCAGTAATTTTTGCTTCTGACGATGTTTGTATCTAAATGAGTATATTTGCAAAAATGTTTTATTAGCTAAAAAACAAGACTAATTAGACTAAGTCTTCAGGTGAACACTATTTTGAGAAATGTATGATTTTTCTGAATGTCTGTTTTTCTTTCTAACTCATTCATTATATTGTGGCCCAGTGTTTAAGGTAATAAAAAACATACACTGTGGCTCAGTTACTTTATTTCATCCAGTCTTCTGAGCAGATAGTTTACAGATGTCTAAATCCCCAAAAAGACATTTTGTAAACTTTGTGTCTGAAGGATGTTCATATTTTATCTAGTTTTCTTTCTTCTTTCCCAGATACCACAATTGGCTCAGGTGATAAGTGTTCCTAAGTTATTTGAATATATTTTTCCAGTTTTATAAATAATGCAAATGTACAAAAAAAATATGGATTTTTTTTTTTCTTTTATTGGGGGGGGTCTGTGTAAATTTTTAAAATAAGAACATTTATAGGCTTCAATTAAGACCTGTATAATAATTTTCACTGTATTACTACCTGATTTGTTTTAAAATTTGCACTAGAAAGTTAGCCATGCATTTTTTCCTGCTGTGTTTCCTGTAAAATTCAGGCTGTTAACTTAAATTTGTTAACTGTATAAAATGAAATATATTAATTTGGGTATCACTCTAAACTATCAGTTTTTTCTTTTTTAAAAGATGCCCCAGCTAAAGCCTGAAACAATTAGCATGACTGGCTTAAACCTGTTCCAGCATCTTTGCAATTTGGCTCGGTTGGCTACCAGTGCCTATGACGGTGGTTCCAACTCTGAGGTATGCACTTGGATTCGGCACTTAGCCAATTTTCCATCTACACTCAAATTAGAGTGTCTCTCTACTGATTTGAGGATTAAGGTATCCTTGACCCATGTCATGCTACCAACAGTCACTTCATCAGCTTGTAAGAATTGAATGTTGTTGAGTAATGCCTTGGTTTTGCATAATACAAGTTTCTCAGTTTGTGTGTTGAAGAAGCCATCGGGGTTCTGAATGCCTTCTCGAAGCTCCTAGAGAATAGAATGGAGTAGATTTTCTTGGGATTCTGTTTGCTCGTTTTCTAAATACTTGTTTTCACCCATTACGCTTTACCTGCCTGGGTACAGTTAACTTGTCTGTTGGTGTCCTTCTGAAATAGAATATAGGAATGAGCACTGTGAGTGACGGTGAGCAGTTGATTTCTTCGGAATGCTCTTAAAAATTTCTGGGTTTTGCTCTAGTTTAGAGACTCTTTTGTTAGTTTCTAGGTTTTGTTAAATCAGTTATCTTTGATTTGTCTGCACATTTTTATTGGACAGCCTAATTGATTAATGAAGATTGACTTCCTAGCCATTTTATACATATTTTTTCTTTATATTTGTGTTCCCAAGCAATTTGTGCAGTGTTAGGGATAAAAAGAAAACAGGCGTTTTTATGGTCAGAATAATGTGATTTATTCCTAGCATACTTCTCCAGGTATTTTCCCATTGTGTTCTTCCCTTGTTAAAACAGTTTTTTGAACTCTTTTGGTCTTCTCCCCTCCTTTCCCAAAAGCATAACCAGGCAGGTTTGATTTACAGAAGAAGCAGCTACTTTGAGATTGGATTGCATTTTAAGTAGATGCTGTTAGCACTAAAGATTTTCAGTCACATATCAAAGTGCTAGGTTTGGGGTTTTTTTGTTTTTTTTGGGGGGGGGTGTTTTTTCTCTCCACACTTGGCTTTGTTTATTGTACTTCCAAAGCTAAGCATTTTTTTACTTAGCAAAATTTGTGGGTTTTGTTTTGTTAATTTATTTTCATCAAAAGTTTAGAGACTTTGGATTTCCATTCATAGTTGCACACATTCCCCCCTGCCCGCCCCTCCCCCCAGTTCACTTTTCTCTTTGAAAAGTAAAACTAAAATATTTCATTGTTATACAACCCCACACCCCCCAGTCCATTCCACTATACAGCTTTCATTCTAGATTCTTGTCGTGGCAATAATACCTAATCATATATTCCTCCTAACCAGTTCTCTCCCTCATCTGTTTCAGTGCAGTATACATCATTTATCTCCTCTTAGATTCTTCCCAACTGCAGTACCAGTCCCGCTTTACAACAGTGGCACTATGCAGTATTTGTCCTTTTGTGACTGGGATATTTCACTCAGCATGACCTCCAGGGTCACCCATTTTGTATATTTCATGATTTCCTTGTTTTTCAATGCGGTATAGTATTCCATTGTGTGAATATACCAGAGCTTCTCTAGCCATTCGTTTACTGATGTGCAGTTGGGTTGTTTCCATCTCTCTGCTCTTGTGAACAAAACTACAATAAACATGGGTGGGCATATATCTGCTTAGGTGGTAGTTCTGGTTTCTTTAGGGTATAGTCACGGTAGTGGAATTGCTGAGTCAAATGATATTTCTATTTCCAACTTTTTGAGAAAGCGCCATACTGCCTTTCATAGTGCTTACACTGTTTTACACTCCCACCAACAGTAAATAAGGGTTCCAGTTTCTCTACAACCTCTCCAGCATTTGTTCCTTGCTGTTCTGTTAAATTTTGCTATTCGTACTGGAGTGAGATGATACCTCATAGTTGTTTGGATTTGCATCTCACTTAGAGCTAGGGATTTTGAACATTTCTTCATGTGCTTGTTGGCCATCTGAATGTCGTCTTTGGTGATGTGTCTGTTCATATCCTGTACCCATTTTTCATTTGGGTTGTTTACCTTTATTTTGTTGTGGTGCTCAGGTATTTATAAATTCTAGATAATGTTCCTTATTTGACATTACATTACCAAATATTTTTTCCCCAGTCTGTGGCTTCCCATTTTACCCTGTTGAAGTTTTTTGATGTGCTTAAAGGGCTGTGTTTTTGTTTTTTTTTTACTGTCCAACTTTTGAGAGCTATCACTTTATTTTTTTCTGTACTTACCAGTGAAAACCTCCTCATTGCCATTTCGTAGTTAACTTACTGTAACGAGTTTATCATGTTTGTATTTACTTTAACTTTTCTAGGATTTCTGGAAGGTTGTAACTTTGACAGAGCCTTCAGTCTTCAGTTTGGTTACCTGTGCTATTGTAGAACTTTTAAGCTTTATGACCAACTAAATTGTTTGTCAGTTTACAGCTGCAATCCTTTTTTGTCCCTTAGCTGTGTGGTATGGACCAGTTCTGGGGCATCGCTTTAAGGGCACAGTCAGGTGATGTCAGTCGGGCAGCTATCCAGTATATTAACTCCTATTATATTAATGGTAAGTCCTTTTTTTTTTAAAAAAAATATTAATTTTAATGAAAGTTTAGAGACTAAGGGTTTCCAGTTATTCATTGTTGCACTTTTCTCCCTTCCCAGCCCTTCCCCTGGTAAGAGCTTTTAAAATGTTAAAAAATGTGAACACATTTTAAACTGTGAAAGGTGCTTTTTAAAACTAAATATAAGTTAGTTTATATAGCTAAAGTAAAGTATGCAATTAACTTACTTGTCATTGTGTGCCTTTCAGGTAAAACGGGTTTGGAGAAGGAGCAGGAGTTTATTAGTAAGTGTATGGAGAGTCTTATGATCGCTTCTAGCAGTCTTGAACAAGAATCCCACTCAAGCCTCACTGTTATAGAAAGAGGACTGCTAATGCTGAAGACCCATCTGGAAGCATTTCGAAGAAGGTGAATTTTTTTTATACACTGTTAGGATAAATATAAGTCTTTATTTTCCCCCTTTTGATTGCCAACGTGTCCATGAGTATTCTTTATTTAATAAGAATACTTCTTGACTCTAAAGAGTTAACAAAAGAATGTTCTCTCTGTTTTATTTTGTTGTTGGGGACGGATAGAAAGCATGATGAATAAAGATTGAAGGGTCTGTAACAGACATAATTTCTGTCCAGATTATTGCCCCTGCCAGTGGAATAGGAGAGAACATGTCCCTGGTAAATTCTGCAGAGCTTTAAACCCATTCCGCCTTGAGTAGATAATACACTATAAAAATGAGACTCTAGAAAGTATTCTGTAAGAAATTATTAGGATGATCATGAAAGGAAGAATAGCAGCACATAAAGAAAACCATTCACTACAAAGCTCACCAAGAACTTGAGATAATCGCTCAGAATTGAAACAGATTAAGTCATTTCTTTCATTTGCTTTTTTCTTTCTCCCTGGACTAGGAGACAGTATTTTAATTTTGAATTTCCATTTACCATGGAAACTTGACAAAAAAAATTCTGTGTTAATGAATAGCTGTATAACTTATTTAGACATACCCTGTGTAAAACAGAAATAAAGCAAATTAACATTTGTGACTATATCGGCTGAGCTGGAAGGTAAGTAGACGGTTTTAAATGAGAAGTTTCCTTTGTTAAACGTTGTTAACAATGAGTAAATGTTAAAGTGTAAATAATGCTTGATGATAGCTTCTTTCAACCTCAAAACCTGCATTTGATATTGAAAAATAAATGATTGATTGGGTACGTGATTTTTATAATTTAAAATATCCAGAAATCTTGAATTACCAACTTGTCTTATGTATTCTTTATAAGTAACATGGTTCTGTGATGTAAAGGACCTGAACATTGCAAAATTTGTGTACCTCAGTTGTGATTGTCACCGGTGAAATACTAAGTGTTTTGTGATTTTTGAAAGCTATAAAAGAATTTGTGAATTTTCCCCACAGAAATTGCAACAGTACCTCATCACTTTTTACTTTAACTTAAAGAGGCTACACTCTTAGGTGTGAAGAATATGAAGCCTTGGCGGATGCTATACCATTTTAAAAATCTTTTTTGTGCTTTTTTTACTGCTTCTGGGTCAGTTCGTCTTGTTGAAGATGTTGCTCTTTTTTGGCTGACTCCCACTACTTTACATTAAATAGCATGTCCTTGTGGAGGGATTGGCCCTTCCAGAGAAGATACGTATGGACACAGGCTAACCGTCCTCCCTTCTAAGAAGTGTTCTCACTTCCTTTCTAAGACAGATTCGTGCCCTTCTTGGGGAAGTCAGCGTCCCAATTCAAAGGCATCAGGTTTTCTGCTCTTTATTCAGTGTCTGACTCTCAAATGCCTATGAGACTTTGTAGTAATGCAGCTGGAATCAAGTGCACCTACGTTAGAGAGACCCTTGGCAGCGGATTTGCCCATTGCACGGCACTGTTTGATTTCTCAAATGCTCCTTCTATGGGTTGTGACTATGAATCCACACAAAATGAAAGTTTTCATTTCATTCTATGATGATTTTTGTGGGTAGGTCCAGTTATGAAGAATTCAAGACACTAAATTAATACAGAATAAAATTAGTGAAAGTGCCTATAATCTCTTTTCATTCAAGTTAGTTAATAGTAACCATGTATTTCTTCTAATAGTTTCTCCATGTTGCCATTTCTATTAACAATAAACTTAAAAGAATCTGTTAGTTCAAACCCCCCTGGTAACTGTCCTCAGTTTGCCAAAGTTTGCAAAATTAGTACTTAACATTTCTTAAAATGTGTCCAAATGCTTACCCCGAAGGGGAACATACCATGATTAGGAATGATCCTGAAACGGGAATATGGTTCCTGCAGGGAGAGACCACTTTGTGTGCTGAACTCAAACTTCCCCAAATGCAGGGAAGGGCCCACATGACTTGCGGTGATTAGGGGCCTGTGTGGGGAGCAGCAAGTATACTTTGTGTTTTGTAGTTTCATAATACATTTTGAAAGTTTACTGAATTTGGATAAAGTACACTACTTCTTAGGTGTACAATTTTTCTCCTAACTCAAGAAAAAATTAGAATGTCGTTAGTATAAATCCTTCTGAATATTTTTGTCTGTTTTGGTTAGGGCTAATTTTGGTTTTGAAATATTTTTATAAAAAATTTTTGAGGCGAGCTAGTAAAAGAAATGCTAAACAAAGAATGAAATATTACAAAAATCAAACAATAATGTTTTTAAGTGTCTGGGTTTTATCAGGCTCATTTTGCCAATATTACGTTTAAAATTTATATTTATAAATACAAAATGTAAGGTCATTCTATATGTGTGTGGTATATTTCTTATAATAAACAATCAATAAAATTGTACTTTTTAAAAGAGAAAGCTTTTAAGCATTGCTAAAACGTGAGGGTTTTAATACCCAGGAGATAATTGTTTAGGAACAATTAAGAATGTAACTACTAAATAGAGATTACTGAAATCGAGCAAGTGTGGGCTACACATTCTGCCAGACTTCACCCATCTATGAGACAGTCTTCAACAAACAGGGTCCCACTCAAAATGTCTGTAGTGCAGAGATTAAAAAACCCTAGATTAAAATATGCACCAGAAAAGCGTATTTCAAGATTACTTTTTCATTCAATCACATTTCTTTTCCATTCATGCTAGGTAATACCAGACGAGAGCTGGCCACTAGCTCCCCTTTCGGAAACAAAGCCAAGTCCATTCATTCTTACCAGTTTTTTCCTCCAAATTCTAGATATTTTAAGCATTATTCATTTTTTCTCCTTAACTCAGACTCAAGATCCTGTTGTAAGCAACTGACAAGTTAAAGATCAACAAGTAATATTGTGTTGTATGTGCCTACCTCTTTGTATATACGAAGTTTAAAAATTCATTGCATTACTGTATCAATCATAAAAGTGCTTTATGCTAATGGACATAAGCTTAATTATACTTTGAGAACTACCCCTCTGCCTCCTTTTGTGAGTTTTGGAATGATAATTCTGCATTTGATATACTATTTTCTTTGCATACCTCCTCCCTTTCTTTACCTGTCCCATGTCAATTTAAAAACACTGTCATTTTGCTATATTCTTTTTGAAGTAAATTTTATGTACTCTTATAATTTTAATAAAAATTTTAAACTATTGCATTTGTAACACTCTTAGATATATTTCTTCTGTTTACATTTGTTTTAATACGATGGATCTAAATGTAAATTTACTGTTTCACATTAAAATGTCCTTGCATATTTTGTGGACTTTTATATGTAATGTGATAAAAACTCCCATAGCATTAAAATAGTTTAAATTCCTTGTCTGTGTCTGCTTTCTGTTGTTTCAGATTTGCGTATCATCTGAGACAGTGGCAAATTGAAGGAACTGGTATTAGTAGTCATTTGAAAGCACTGAGTGACAAGCAGTCCCTGCCACTGAGGGTGGTTTGCCAGCCAGCTGGACTCCCCGACAAGGTAACTACGTAGTTTTAATTTCCAGATTGATAATATTTCCCCGTCCAAATATCTGTTCTTTTTGTATTTTTAAATTGGTTGCATCTCATATTTCAGATGACTATTGAAATGTATCCTAGTGACCAGGTAGCAGATCTTAGGGCTGAAGTAACTCATTGGTATGAAAATTTACAGAAAGAACAAATAAACCAACAAGCTCAGCTTCAGGAGTTTGGTCAAAGCAGCCGAAAAGGAGACTTTCCTGGTAAGTCCAGTTATTCCAATCCTACTAGCAACTCTGACCCTTTACCTCTTGGAAGAGCCACTATGTTTGTGACTTCCTCCTTCCTCCTTTCCCACTCATTACTGTGACACTTCGATTCTTAGATTCAGTTCCTCAGAATTGCTTCAGATTCAGTTTTCAAAATATTCTTCTCAAGTTTGCAAATAGTTTTTATTTGCAAACTATTCTTCCTTGTTTAGACTTCGGATGTGATTATTGATACTATTGTTTGATGTTATTTAGCATGCAGTGTGGGAAGTATTTATAATTTTTTAAATACTTGTTCAGTTTTAGTAGTGAGAAAGGGTTTTTTGCCTTTTGAGTATATTTCATTTACATTTTTTTGGTGTGCATGTGAAGGTGTCCCGCCCAATACCCACCCACCCACCCACCCCCAAATCTTACCTGTGCATCTATTCTAGAAAATAATACGCTAAAAAATTTTCAGGTCTATCTGAAATGTATGCTTGACCCCTTCATTACTGTTATTGGTAAGAGTGTACTTTTTGGCTTTCTGTAGCATAGACCATATGAGATGATCTGAAGTGACCAGGAAAGAAAACATAATAAAAGCTGTTTTTATCTAAAACTTGAGGATATGAAGCTATAAGTAATAGGAGTACATAACCATGTCTCTCTCTCATTACTGTCAAGTTGGCGGTTCCAGCTGGTTTTTAGAGGCAGTAAATTGCACTGGGAGGAGGTTGTCTGTCTGAGAGGAGTAGCTGGTGCTTTGAAACACCAGAGAGGCTCTGTAATTGTATGTAGCATATCTTCTAAAGTAACATTTTTTAGGAGGTTTTATTGTTGCTAATGTGTGCTGTCAAAGCAGAAGAAATTAATTGATGACCTTCCAGCAGGTTTTGACAGGAGAATATTGCCTATCTTTCCTGCAAGTGCTTGATGGATTTGAACTGCCTGCTTTTGGATTGGCAGCACAACTCCTTACCATTGAGCTACAAATCTTAACTTGAAAGGTTGTTCTTAATATTTTATGGATAAAAAAAGTCTTTAGCCCTTAAAGAAAACATTTTTATTGGATTTCTTATATACCCTATGAAATACTAAAATATAATGGAAAATAATGTAAACATGATTTGTGAAATTGAATAGCACTAAATTGAGGAACTCTGGTAGCCTGGTGGTAAGGAGCTGGACTGCTAACCCAAAGGCAGATGATTCGAATCTACCATATGCCTCATGAGAGGGTTGGACAGTGCACTCCTGTGCCATTTACAGCCTTTGCAACCCTGCTGCACGTCAGCTGAGTTGGTTTTGAATTGATGGCACATAACAACCACTGCAGTAATTAATTAATATTGGGCTGTTTCATGTCCATTATCTAGAGACTATTTCTTATTAATGCATACATAAAATGGCTTTTTTTTAAGGTCTGCGTAGTCCATAGTGTCAAAATAGCATGATGTTTACCTGTCCTTTAAGAATGGATGTTTAGATGGTTTCTTTTCTGTTGTTACTTAAAAGCAGTGCTATAGAGGATATCCTTGCTTATCTGTTTTCTTACTTGTTAGATTACTATCTAGTTAAGGTATTTCTAGACCCAAAGAAAAGTGATTGCTTTTGTTTTGTTAAGAAAGCATGACAAAATGAGTATTAAGAAAATAAAAGCCCACGTACCTGTCACCTAGATTTCAAACTACAGCTTTTAAGTTACTTGTTTGTGTAGTCCTGTTGTCATCCTTATTTGCTGATGGTGAAGACAGCTTGAAGTATTTACTGAACTGTATTAAAACCTGTAGCTAGTGGTGTAGGTAATATACCAACATAGAACAAAAATATTGACAACTAGTCAGTAAACATCGTGATGAAAGGAAGACCAATTAGAGTTAAGTGTTTCACTTTACTTCTAGCCACAATCTGCATCTCTAGAAGCAGCTGTCAACAAAATCATATGATCAGACAGATCTGCTGCTGTCAAGCTTGTCTCTGTGCTAAAGAGCAAAGATGTCACTTTACACTACACCCAAGCCATGGTATTTTCAAAGATGCTTCATATGCCTGTGAAAAGTGACAAATGAATAAGGAGAAGAACAATTAGGACATTGCTGAGTAATTTTGAAGGTAGTGTGCTCTACGTAAAGAACAAACAGCTCAGACTTGAAGTGAAGCCAGGGTGCTTGTTAGAGTCACAGGTTGTGAGCTACGTGTTCCATCCTTCCAGCCTGCTCTCCAGAGAGGCCATTCCCTGTGGAAAGTCTTGGAGAAGTAGAGCATCAGCAAACGAGGAAGACCCTCAATGAGACGGATGAGCAGTGTGGTGTCAGCAGTGGACTGAAGGGTAGCAGGAGCAGGCATGGTTTGGTGCTGCTGCTGAGTCGATGATGCCTGACAGCAGGATTGTCATCCTTCTTTCTGCCTTTCACGATGTCCTAGTCTGGGGGATAAGAGAGAGAGAGTGAGTGAATGAGAGTGTGTATGTAGCTAGATATCTTGCCTGCTAACTGAGAGGTTACTGGTTTGAACCCACCAGCTGCTCCATGGGAAGGGGATGAGGAAATGTGTGTCTGTAAAGATTACAACCTTGGAAAAGTCCAGTGAGATGTTTCTCCTCTCTTGTACAGGATTGCTGTGAGTCAGAGTTGACTTGATGGCAGTGGAATCGTGGTATATACTTCATTGTATTTTGTTTTATGACACTGGTGAGCAAGCACAAACCAGGAAAAGAATATGACCACTATTTTGTAATCTCAGAGGACAAGTTAAAGATCTAATCCCCAAAGGATTATAAAGCTTCAGTTGAGAATATCGGTAAAAGTTGTAGAGTCTAGCAGGCAAGATACATTTTAGTAAAGCAGTATTTACTAGATACTTTGGAATAGGAGTAGAAAAAATGGTCACAGAGTTTACTTTCAATTTGCAAAGTGCTTCATGACTTAACTTTTAAGAGTGCATCAAAAGCGAATTCTCTTCTGTGAGACAAAATGAATATCCTCAGCTGAATAAAACAGGACATGGAAGAGAGGGTAAGAAAGTCGCTCAGACCTGGAAAAAGTAGTTCTGGTTTAGATAAGAATCTGGGCCAGGCTGCTGCTGCTTGGATAGAACAACTAATCATGGTTGATACCATTGTTGATTCAAAACCAACTCCAGCAGATATTCAGAGGTTGTAAGTCACCTAAGAGATCATCCACTGGTGGATTCAAACCATGTGCCTTTCTGCTGGCAGTGCAGCTCCTTAACGATGAGGCCACTAGATCTCCCTAATCATAACTCTCAGTAGTAGGTTTCTCTGAAGTCACGGTGATGTTGTTATTGTCCCCTACACCCTTTAACATAATCTGGGTGATTCTCTCTGCCCCTCTGCTCACTTTTGCTAGATCATCCTCTTCGTTGTTTGCGCTGTCCACTTCCCACTCTCAACCCACCCTTCAAATATGGCCACTGGCATACACCATCCAGTAGCTTCTGCACACACTGTAATTAATGATATTAATTTATATTAATACTAAAAAATAAGTAATAAATGAAAACACATCTGATGTGTAAGGGTTTTTGGTTTTGGTTTTTTTT